CCCAGCCAGCCATGGAATTCCCCATGCTGGCTGGGGAATTCTGGGAGTTGAAGGCCACTCATCTTAAAGTGGCCAAGTTTGGACAACACTGCTTTAGGGACTGATTGTGTCTCCCGGGTTCAGGTTTTCTATTTTGTTCTCTGGTGGTCCAGCCTCCCCCCCTTCCAAGGTGCCAGAAAGCGACTTAGGATCGTTTGCTCCACATGGTCTTCCTTTCAAGCAGCCATCGGTTTAGTGTCGGGAGAAGGCTCGGCCCTTCGTGCTGTCCAGACAGGCTCAGTTTCCCCAGTGGGTGCTCAGGGATGCTCCCTTTTCAAGAAAAGCCATTTCTCTCGCGTGCCAGTCTCGCTTTGGAAGAGGCCGCATGCCAGTCTTCGGGCTGCCCTCCACTGCTCTGGGCTGCTCCAGGCCCACGGGGGGTGGGGGTCCTGACTCTCTCCTCTCTCCGGCTCCCCCCCTCTGCTGCCTGCGGCTTCTGACACAGCCGGGTCTCGGACAGTCAGGCGAGGGGATGGGCTGCCCTTCCTCCAGGCTGCAGCGTTGTGCGTGCTGGCGATTCCCGCCCTCCTCTTCCCCCCTGAGAGTCTGGGGTGCGGACCACGAGACCGAGCGAGCCCTTCTCCCACGGCCCAAACTCAGGTGCCTCCTGTGCAGCTTCGGCCTGCGCCCCCCTCCCTTCCTTTCTCACTTTTCTTGGCTTCAGGCACTCCAGCTGTGCCGAGGCACATCGCCAAGGGTGTGACAGGATGGGGCGCTCAGTGTGGGCCGAACATCCCTTCTCTATATGTCGCCATATAGAGGGAGCACGCACCCCCTTGTGCAAGAGCACCGCTGGTCCGTTTCCTCTGTCCACCTGTCTGTCTGTCCTTGCTGTTCAGCTTGGATTTTTGCCACCCCCCCCAGCTGCCCTGTCCTCTGCATCTCACTTGTGCCAGGAATGAGCCCCCCTGTATCCACCCCCCCCACATCTCCTGCCCTGTTTGCATTGCACGCCAGAGCGTTCGTGCCTGCTCGTCCCATTGCATGCATATGTGGGTCTGACACGGAGAATGTGAATTGGATTTATGTATCTTGTGTTTTTTTCTCTCTTTCTCCAATCTCTTTCTATCGACTTCTCTCCCCCCCACCCCAAAATTTGCCTGGGCTGTGATCACTGGCTTCCTCTCCCCTCCACCACGATCCCGCCCCCTCCCCTCAGGACACACGCAGAATGCCCGCAGTTGCTGGACGTGGAGGACATGGTCCGGATGAGGGAACCGGATTGGAAGTGCGTTTACACGTACATCCAGGAGTTCTATCGCTGTCTGGTTCAGAAGGGGCTGGTAAAAACGAAAAAGTCTTAGCCTTCCGTTCTGCGGTGCTACGGTGAGAACCTTTCCTCTCCTCCTTTCCTTGGTTTGTTTCTCCTCTGGGGGGCTGGGGGCCGGGGCTGCACCCACACAAGGCGAGAGATGCACCACCGCCTCTTGGTTGTCCTAAGCTGGTAGGCTGCATGTGCTTGCAAGAAACACGGGGGGTCCCGGGCGCTGGGGTGCTTTAGTCTGGAAACGGTGGTGCTCCATTTCTCTCGGGGGCTTCCGAAGAGGACCCTCGTGGGAGGGAGCAGAGGCGGCCAAACGATCATCTGCGTCTGGCAGAGACGCCCGGCTTGCCTCCTCGGGGCCTTGGGCAAAGCACGAAGGGGGACAGGTGATGGAGAGCCCCCCCTCCTGAGCCTTGCCCTGGCCATATAAGTCTTGGAGGAGCTGGAAAAAGTGACTCAGGCCGCCCTCGTTGCTAACGTCTCTGCTCTCCTGGGAGGCTGGGAGCCGAGCACACGGAGCAAGCTAAACAATGGCTTTATAAGGGCAGCGTGGCTGGCTTGGAGCTCGCCCGGGTTTTTCCATCCCCACCACGGTCTCCAGGGGGGGCGTCCATCAACTCCCTGCCCTCCCTTGCCCTCCCTGCTTGGCTGCCTTTGCAGAAGCAAGTTGGGGACTGAATTCACCCTGTTGTCTTGGTTCCTAAATTCTAAATAGGCAGGGTCAGGCTAATTAGCACTTGGATGGGAGACCACCAGGAGATTTGAGGGCTGTCAGCTAGAGTAGGAAGTAAAAAAACCCACTTTGGAAGAAGGCAACAGGGAATCACTTCTTGTACTCTTGTTGACAAACCACATTAGTGTCTTT